GAGAGAGAGAGAGAGAGAGAGAGAGAGAGAGAGAGAGAGAGAGATTAAGTTTGTACACCGTTGTGGAGCACTCCAACACTTCAAATACCTCACAAACTCTGTCTGTGAATAGCAAAATTAGTCAAACAAGAAGAATGTCTGTGCAACGCACAATTGCATTCAACGCTGTCCACCACCAATGTCTGTATTCCCGTTGTCCATCATGGTCTCTAAAGCGCAGCCAAGCCATGTGTGAGCACGAAGTATATCCTCTCCTGTTGATAGTGTCGGGTGCAACGTAGCACCAGAACCGCTGGCTGTAGCCCCGTGCAGGAGGCAACTAAGGTCCAGGCCCCAAGTGAGCGAGGTTGCGAGGACAGCCTCTCTATTGACCAAGACAAACCAATTCTTCCCCAGACTTGACCATCTTTTTCCATTCGAGCATCATAATGGTCGTCAGTGCTGCATACTGGAGTGCGCCRTCAGGTGTTGCCTCCTTCAGCACGACACGCAACAGTAAATGGGGATTACGAAAAACACGTGCCAACCTGAGAATCGCATGTGCCCACCCTTTAGATGCTTGCCGTCCTCCTGCTTCAATATCCCAGTACGCATCATACTCCTCACTCTCCTCGTCGCTGCTCACATCGCTGCCACTCACTTCCACCTCATATGTTGGCGGCTTCGCATCTTTTTCATTGTTCCTCACTGTTGTTTCTTCAATGTCATAGTCAAAATCAATTGGTAAAGAAGAGTCTTCGAACCCTCATCGCCGTTGTTGTTCTATCATTGTCCACTCATTGAACACATCTTCTTCTTCAACCTCCTCCCTGGACACTGTGATGATGCTCCCACGCACGAAGGAGACTGTTCTGTCAATTTCTTCCCCTGATGAAGTGTGTCCATCTGCAGCTTGAAGTGCAACATTTGCTTCCCTGGCGATCAACTTCCATCCTTCCTCCCTTGACCTCTTTCTGTCCACGTCAGAAGTCGCGATGGTGAGGCGATGCAAAGCTTCGATGAATATTTCATCCCATAATGGAGTTCCACATATGACATCCTCTTCCACAGTCCGCATCTTGTAGTTAACGAGGTCCTTGCCCGCCTGTGCTTGCTCTGTCACATCATGCAATGCCTTATGTATGACATTCCGATCCTGAGGACTCTTTTGCATGAAATCCACCAGCTGGTCGAATAAGACATACTCCACCCCGTTTGCAATAATGACTGGAAGATCTTGGAAGTCTTGCGGGGGAGATTGCGGTATGTCCTTGAAACGCGACAGCAACAGAATTTTTGCTGCACCGCTCTTCAGCTCGTCGTTAGAATCTCCAACAAGCATTCCCCATTTCCTCGCCTGTGTCATGAGCATCTTTTTTAAATCAACTGCTGTGTATGTTCCGCCCTGCTGTTGCTTTGTTATATCCACGTCCCCTTCAGCAGACATCCCTTCTGTGCACATCCAACCAACCACTTTTCTCAAGCTGTATGCACCGGTATCAGCATTGTCGTCTACACGCAAATCACGCGCCTCTGTGAACCGTGCCAATAGCATCCATGCTCTGAGCGACTCCTCTCCGTTCGCAGCGATGCTTGCACGAATATTCACTCTGACTTCGAAGTAGCTGGGCACTCTCTCCGTTAGTAGTTCAAGCTCCCCGTCGTCATCGTAGTAGATGCCTTCCTCAGCGTATTGCATTACCTCTTTAAGAGTTGTCCTCGCCTGCGCCGCGGACATCGACATGATGGTTGTGCTTTTGTGTATGTGTCTGTAAGTGGAACGACAAAACAATGATTTCAATCTCCGTGAGGGTTTGTTTAATGTTGTTTGTGTGTCCCTCTGCAGGAAGTATGCGGTCGTGAGACGCTGCCAGTCAGTACACGGACATCATAGCAGGGTTGACTACTGGGTGCCATTTTTTCTTGGAATCAATGACATTAAAACGAATCCGGCACGCAGTAGTCAACTCCTCTCTCCCTGCTCTCACTCTCCACCCAAACCGCTCCCCATTGGTTTGACAACCGTAGGGGGTGTTCCGTGGCCCACTGACAAGTTCCCCCCAAGCACCCCGCCCCCCCCAACCGTAGGGGGTGTAGCATTGTACGTATCACAGGGCCACGAACCATTCATTCATAAAGCCATGGAGGGCAGAGTACAACTTACCTAAGACGGAATAGTCCTCCGCCAAGTGTGTGTGTGTGTGTGTGTGTGTGTGTGTGTGTGTGTGTGTGTGTGTGTGTGTGTGTGTGTGTG